TATTAATATTATAATAAATAACTAATAAATAAATAACAAAATCATTAGTTAGAACTCAATAAATACTATTGTCAGAATTAATTCCACAAAATATTTATTACATCATTATTATGTGTCTATTATATGCGTCTACTATATGCAGGTACAAGGTACAATTATGTAGGTACAAGGTATGAAAAAGAATGACAATGTTTCTAATCATCTTTTTAAATAAAAGACTAAAAATTAAGCCTATTTGACAGAATTGTTTTTTAGCTTTGATTTGCTGTTGCTTAGCTTATGATGCTTGATGCCATTATTAAGGAAGGACTCTTAGCCATTTGTTACTAAAATTTTATATATTTTTAATAGAGAATGGGCTGTAGGGTGCAGGAGAGAGTAAATGTAAAAACATTAACTATTAAATAATAGAAATAGAATATATAGCTTGCAATCATTTAAGAAAATAGGGCAAACTTGGTAAAACCTATTAAAAACAGAAAGAAAACTATCCAAGTTTAAATGAATGTACTGTGTTCAGATTTTTCTATTTGGGAACTGTGATTTAAATGTAACACATTTTCTAATTTTCTTCTTTTGTTTTTAAAACATGGTCTAGAACCTTATATATATCAAAAGATGAAAACCAAGGCAATTGAGCAACATGCTGTACCAGTCACTGATTACCTAAAGTGGTCTCAAGAGGTAAAAATATTTGGATCATTTTTATAAAAAACACTTGTCAACAAAACACTTCATTTGACTATTCATTTTACCTTTCTGCCCTTTACTTGGCTTCTGCCTTTCCCTGGTATTAAATTTAAATCTTTGTGTGAAACTTTACTCAGATGAATCCCTGCTTGACCTTTTTCAACCGTTGCCTATTATTTCATTCTTTGCTGTTCTTGTGCAACTTGATTATCTACCCAACATCCTGAGGACATCCAGCATGAAAGAGAAAGAATTCAGGACTTTTTGATACTGTTTTCAGTTATGAAAGTTGTCGTGTGGCAGAAAAATAGGATATTGTCAACATGCTTTTAAGAGGTAGATGTAGAGTCAGCTTGGAGAAGCTATTGAGAAACAGAGTTCAGCTCATAAAGAAAAGAAATTTTATCATTTAGAGCTTTCCAAGGATGGAATGATCTATTTCTTGAAGTAGGTTTCTGCCCAGTGTGGTTAGATAAGCCTGAGTTGAACAAATCTCTTCACCAACATAGTGGAGGACACTCAAGTCCTGCAGGTTGAAGGAGCCTCGGTGTTTGTCTAGTGCTCCAATTCTCCAGGTTTGTCATCTGTTTTGCTTACCATCTACAAGTCTGTGCCCTGGTTTAGGGCCGTCTGTCAAGTGGGATGTATGATCTAGTTAGAGGAACCCAGAAAACCTAATTTTGATCTTGGTTTGAATATTATCTGTTTGAACTTTGGAACTGTATAAACAGTATCAGTATGAACAACCTTAGATAGGCTTGTAGGAATAGAATCTGTGGAAGGTTTTGAAAGTAAAATGTGCTGGGCTTGGTGGCACATGTCTGTAATACCAGTACTCTGGGAGGCTGAGGCAGGAGTATATCAAATTTGAGCCCAGCCTGGGCAAATTAGCGACTTAGAGAGATCCTGTCTCAAAATTTAATCCCCAGTATATCCCCCCACCCAAAAAGTAGACTGTAAGAGGACTTGAAGGCAGTTGGAGGCAGAGATTTTACCACTTACTATGTTTCAAAACTATGGACATCAGTTAACCTGAGAACTTCATTAGCTATATCTCTATAATAGCTATATAACGTTATCTGTAAGAGATTATCCATCATGATCAACAAAGAAAACACTTACAGAAGTGCCTACACTGATGCCTGGAGTGTACTAGGTCTCCAGAAATATTTTTAGCTGAATAAATAGGAAATAGAATGAGGTAAATACCAGTGATATTACTTTAAATTATGATCCCTTGGAACAATAATTTGATGATAGGACATAATGGTGTGAAAATTGATGTTGCTGGTCAACATGGATCTTCTTTCCTTCCTTTATGTCATTAACTCATTTTGCATGTTTAGTCCTCTGTCTGTAAAAACTTTCATATATTATGTTTTCTCTTCTTTTTTTTGAGACCAGTTCTCTCTGGCCTTCGCTGACCTTGAGCTTGTGGCAATGCTCCTGCCTCAGCCTCCCGAGTGCTGCGATTACAGGCATGCGCCACCGTGCCTGGCCTATATTTTCTCTTCCGTGTGCCCATAAAAGTAGCTTCATTCTGTTAAAGTCCACCAACACACTGAACTAATCTGATACTGTGCTAACATTGTGCGTCTTTCCAGCTTGGGTTTGGTTTGTTTGTTTTTTTTTTTAAAGAGAAAGTCTGAGCTAGAGGAAGGAGAGAGGTACCCTCTAAAGGGGGAGATTTGGAGACATGTTAGCTCGGGTGGGAACTTGCTGGGTGCCTGAGTGACACCTTTCCTTCCCCTAGGAGCTGAGGGAAAGCCCCCTGTGGGAGTCCAGGAGCCCCACCGCCACTAGGAGCTCCCTGTAAGTATTTCTAAGTCTCTTGTCAAGAGTGTCTGGGTTCTATTTTGCATCTGATGAGGAAGAAAGGGTTAATTTGGTCAGAAAAGGAAGAAAAAGGGTGTGTGTCAAATGAAGATATTCTTTTATTAGCAAGCATGAAAAAGAAATTATTCTCCAATTTTGCAGTTTCTGGGAACAAGATCTCTCACCCAAGTGCTTTTTAAGAATACTGTAACGAAACATGTATTCTGACAGCAAATTAAACATTTGCCTGTTCAATGTGAAAAGAACACACATTGAAATAGCGATCGTCATATCTTTTCAGATAGGTAAGACTGAGTTTGCTTCAAGAAGTAGAAATAAATCTGTCCTGCCGAAAGAAAGGGATTTAAGACCTGATTATATTCTTCAGATTTAAAAACAATTCATTCTTCCACATTTTTCCCTTTTGGTGTATGAAGTTGCTGTTTTCTAGTTTTGGTTTTTCAGTAACACCCTAGTTGGCACAGCAGTAGCTCTGAGAGAGACGGAAACAGAGAGTGAGAGGGAGATGAGATAGACAGTTGTGTAGAGGACTCGCTTGACTGTAGAGTAGAATTGAGTGTCCTCCTGAGAGAAATAAAATTTGAAAGCCCGCCAAGCAGAGATAATTTCGTTTTATTTTTATTCTCCTGAAGAAACACAGGCTGGCCCCAAACTCTTGGGCTCAAGTGATCTTCCTGCCTCAGTCTCTCAAGTAGCTGATGACAGGCATGTGCCGTCTTGTCCGGCTGATGATTTCATTTTGTTGGTACTACTTTCTGTACTTTCCTAGTTGCATTATTAAACTAATATCCATACAGCCACAGGGGCAGAATTAGAAACTGTCTAGTCTGCAGAAGGGCCCGTTGACACAGAGCAGGTGGAAGGCAGCTTTCGGTGTGCACGCAGCTCCATCTGAGGTGGCCTTGTTCAAAGCTGTCATCATGGCCTCCATGCAAGCCTGCTTCCAGATTTAAAGGACACATGACTTTCTTCTCCCAAAGGTTCAGTAGTTTGTGCTCGTGCAGAGTAGTGGGTTATTGCAGCATGAAATTAAACAATAATTGTTCTTTCTTCCTCAAGGCCTTAAATACTGGAAATATTCTTTGAATGCATTTATTCAGACTTGCCTATGGCCACTTGTGCACTTGAGCAGGGCAAGTGACAATTTAAATAGAGCTAATCTCAGCCTGTGAACATTTAGGGGCCACGTGGGCTAATGAAACTGATTTGTAGTCTTGTCCAAGGACATTCACAGACTCATTTGTAGGCATCTGCTTTGCATAGTTCAGGAACCCGTTAGTTTAATTGATCAAGAACAACACAAACACAGTTAAATCTTGTATATGTTGTGTGATCACATAGCTAATTAAAAAACAACTACTTTTCAGTTAGCTTAGGGCATGTACAGAAAGTGACTTACATGCATATCTGGTGTTCATTTCTCTGTAAAAATAATTGTAGATTGATAAAAGTAAGGACAAGATGTGACTGCTATTTTATACATGTACATGCCTTTAGGATGTTTCAGTATGATTTATTTTCTTTTATCATTGAAAGATTTAAAGCGGGATTATCTAAGTGATTTTACTTTTTCCGTACAGGCTGAGAAGTTCAAATGGAGTTGACAGTAAGTTTTGAGATTTCAACATCTTTTTGTGTGTTGATTTTATTAATGATGATGTTCACTGCCTTGCTAAGGCTTTCATAGTTCTTGAACTTGTATTGCTGATTTTTACCTACTCTACTAAGTAGAAAATTCAGTAGAAAAGTAGAACACTGAATATCTCTTGCCAGATAAATCAGTACTGATTTGTGGTTTAAAGTTTTTTGATTTACCCATTTTTGACTGTGCTTTTTCCATTTTCTGTCTGAATGAGGATATAACCACTGAGCTCATTTCAGCTGCCCAACAATTCTTATGTAACTTTTCGCATATTGTTCACTAAGAGACATTCATAAGATTGTAGCCCATGGATGCCTTGTCCTCTATGGTTTCAATAGGACCCTATGCCCGAAATGACTAAGAGGGCATAGACCAATGCCTGGCTTATGGCAGGTGCTTAATAAATATGGGTTCAGTAAACACAGCTCCTTAAGTAGTAAAGCCAGGATTGAAACTCAGCTTTATCACAGTGAGATGCTCATATCCTTTAAATATTTCATGCCCTTTGTCTATAAAGATCCTACATTCCAGGTGGAATTAGTGTGTCCCATAAACCTCCATGTACATTTCTTGGCAAACTGTGTTATTATAGTTCATGTCTTTTTCTCTAATATATTGCATTTGCTTTTCTTTAGGGTGGAAATTTTATCTTATTCACATTTCTCATGAATAGCATGATTCAAAGAGGGAGATGAATGTATATGTATATGTAATATATAATTGAATGATTATTGAATGAATTCAGAAAGGAAGAGTCTTTTCTGCTTATCATAATTTTTGCCCTGTACTTCAAAAGGAAGTGGTATCTGATCCTTTCTGGATCTAGCATCAAGAAGCCAGAGAGATTTCTGAAATTGGGCTCATTATGCTGCTTACCCTACTAGGTATAAAGTAGTTGCCACCATGAGACTAAAGTTTCTCCACTTTAATTTTGATTTTATAAAATGGCAAAGCTGTTGCAAAGGATTTCTCTGGAGCCTTGTAATTTAGCACTGGAGCAGATGGAAGAGAAGGAGTTAAACTTGGAGGGAGATGTTCCTCTTGCTGTCCTTGTGTAGCCAAGCAAATCCCTTGCTACTGTATTATCCATCTCCTACTTGATTTCTTTTATACAGCTCTTAGTACATTTTGATCATTTTGTTGTTGTTTTAGGTCAGTGAAGTAGTCTGCTAATAACTTGGCATTAATAATACCTTTCTGTGGATACTGCATCTTGGTAGGGAGCTCGGAGAAGCATGCTTCTGGGATGTCATGAAGTGTGATGGGCAGCTGAGTGCCTTCTGCAACCCAGAGGTGTAATTGGTTCAGAGGAAATACATCTTGGAGGCTAATATTACCTGCCTTTCTTCAATTCCCTATATAAATATGTTTGGAGATATTACATTGATGATTGGAAGCTGTCAGGATACCATGCACAATAATATGGTTAAAGAATATTAGGCAAGCTTCTTCAAATACTGAGAAGCCATTCTGATTAACCTGTTCAATAGTAACTTTGAAGGCAATATATTCATAAGCATGTATTTATCTCCAGCCATGTAATTAAAATGTCAATCTTATCTATAATTTCAGAGATCTCAGCATCCTTAAAAACCCCTCAAGAGCCTCATCACCATTATTCAGGTAGGAAGCATGTGTACTTAGACAGGTCAACTGACCTAAATGTCTGTGATTCTGCATTTGTCAACAGAAACATTATTAAAGTCCATGTTCTTGATATGGCTCCCAACTTGGAAAATTGTTCACTCTCCTGGGAAGAACATTTAGTTTTCTCATCTTGACAATATCCCAAGAAAGAAAGCTGTCAGGATTTGTGAGTGTTTGGATTTAAACAGAAAAGTACATTGGCAGGTTCTAAATTGTGAAGAAGGATGACTTTGAGTCTTAAAAATTCCTTGCAAGTTCTAAGTCAGAGATCTTAAGTGTTTGAACTGAGGAAAAGACAGACCCCGAAGTAGTTGTTTAAGGGAGGGTTCTGTATCCTCCATGGGGCCTCAGTGAACATAGAACTGATTAGATGCCAGCTGCAGAGAACAAGTTCAGCAAAGATGTTATTAAACAAAGATATCAAGGGTCTTGACTCTCTTAAGCAACATCACTGACAGTGCTTCAGTTGTCTTTTTTCAGAGTGGGAATAATTGTACTTGCTCTTCCCAAGGAACAGTCTGCCAAAGAACTAGTTGAGAATTAAGAAGAAAACACGTTGAAATGCAAAGCAATATAACAACCTAGTGGACTTGTGCCAGGAGGTGGTTTCTTGGGAGTTGTTGCTCTCAACATTGGATGAGAAAATACATGGGCAAGGCTTTTAAACAGTCTAAAGCTTGGGACATAAAGTCAGACCTTATTGGTGTGATATTACTGTCCTAATCGCATCAGGGTCATTTGTTTAGGGTCCAGTAATAAGCTGCTTGATCTTGAATTCTTCCCAAGAGTGAATGGTGTTCCAGTGGATTCCAGCCTCCTCATTCCAGGCTCTTAATACTAGGTCTTTCAGTTTAGCAGTAATCTATTATTTTGACTCCAGCCGTCAGCTTAAGAAGGACTCTAGTGAGGACTACTGTAACTCATACTGACTCTGATGTGTTAGGATATGGCCCTCAACAGGAAAATGCAGATCACTTGCTCCTAATTAAAATTAGTCTTCAGTTCTCTCTGGGAAAAAAGAGGAGTGAACTGCTCAAGGTGACCAGTAGGTGTCCCCACAGTCCGTGTTGCTTTGGAAAAAGAAAACAAGAGGATGAAGACCATGGGTTAAAATGCGGTTTAAAGGAAACTTCCACACACACACGAGTTAGTATTGAGGAAAGTGGGAGGAGATAGTCCTTAAACTCCTATAAAATATTTCTACGATTGGGATATCCTTCTGGTTTAAAGCACAGTTTATATTTAAAACTGTATTATGGGTGATGTTTTTGGTAATGACAAAAATGAAAGGTATTTGAAATAAAATATTTTGGTATTATGTAAATATATTGAGGTGAGGTGCCTCTGTAGATTTAAGCCAGCGATGCAGACTTAAAATAATAATCTGTTTTTGTTTGCAGCCATTGAAAGGAATAATTTAATGAGGCTTTCTCAGACCATACCATTTACGCCAATCCAACTGTTTGGTGAGTAGCTTTTCTACCTTCTTGAGGTTATGCCAGGATGGGGAGGGGGGGTGGTAACATCTGATTAAATCAAAGGAGAAACCATGTTGCATCATGTCACTTGAAAATTTCATTTTGACCGTGATTATAGCTTAGTGAGATTCATTTCCTAAAAAGGAATCCTGTTAATGCTTCGGCCAGCATTTGGGGTCAAAGCTTGACATTGTGGAAGTGCGATGTTTAACAAGCAGCATTTGGGAAGAAAGCAACAGTGCTGCATCTAGTATTCACTGACTGGAGGCTGGAAGTACATAAGAAAGAAAACAACAAACCAGCCATATATAGGACAAGCATAGAAGAAAGTGCTAGACATCACTGTGGTGAAAGCCAACAAGCATCTGAAGAGAAGTGCTTTGTATATTGCCTTTTATTTGTTTGTTTTGTTTTACATACACTAATTGCTCTTACTTCAGACTGTAAGTGTCGTTTTTTTTTAAAGGGTTGGAATAGAAAAGAAAAACAAGTTTGCATTAGCCAAGGCTACAAGAGTTTCTCCGTCCAACAGGATAAAGCTTGAGCCAACTGACAATATAACAAGGGTCCCTACACTGCCCTTGATCTCAGTTCTCCTCACACTGTTCAGAGGGAGAGAGACCAGGTTGGGTTCTGACTGTTAATGCAGATGCCTCCCCTTCCACTTGGCTCAGCAGTGGGTTTTGCAGATCAATAGCACTGCTCTAAATCCTCCAGGGACCAGAACTCCAGAGACCTTCAGTGGCAACATTTATCTTGGATACTAAGAATGAATATTTGAAAATATGTTACTCAGCATTTCCTAGATGTTTTGTTGGTAAGGAATTAGATACCTACTGGAGTAAGGGAATGGATTCCTTTCTTGGTACATCAGTATAGTGTTCACAGTAACAGGCACAAAACAAATAAACAACAACTGTTTGAAGCAAAGATGTAAAAAGAAAATGACACAACTTGAGTGGAAATTTTGCGTAGATTGTTAGTTCTGATATGAAGCATTAACAGCGTATTGATGGAGTCTACTTCAATAAAAATTCCTCTCAATCCTGTAGCCTAAAAGTGGAGGTGTATAGCAATTAAGTAATGTTTTGTGTCCAAAATCTTTTCAGTGGGATTGAGTTTGTACCTGAGTTCTAGTTCATTTTAGCCACATTAACATACTTAATCTCTACAACAGCCTAATGAAATATCATTTTCATCTTCATTTTACTAATGAGGAAGTTGAGGATTTAACTAATTAACCCAAAAGCACAAGAAAGGAAGCAGAAGTTGTGGGCTATGAGAATTGGTACTGTCTGACTCCAACTTTATACTAAAAGGATGCATTCTCAGTGGGGCAGTATCACAACAAAAGGAGAAGCAAAACAAAAAATCAAAGCCAAAGGGAACCTTTTTATTTTTCATTCATTAAGGATAGGTATATACATAGTCCAACATAGATATATAGGATATATATTTTTTATATTAAATTCTTTTATTGGTACATTGTAGGTATACAACACAATTACATT